CCTTAAGAATAAACTATATTAATTCTAGATCTTTTTTTCTTTTTTCTGTAGTTTCATTCCTATTTAGTTATTATTTGGATCTTTAGGTCTGAAAAACTGCATAGTGGAAAATGTGCATTTTTTTAAAATAAATGCCTATTTTCTTTTTTTTTTTTTGTTATTTTATCTTGAGGTGAATGCAATACTATCAGGTATGTTTGAGTCAGGTTTCTGTTTCAACAATGAGGAATCAAAGCAATGGCCAGTGTGATTTTGGCCAAGGAACTCATTAATATTAGTATAGCTTCTTAGCATTTTTATGAATGTCAAGCTGGAAACTTTTAAACCATCTTTGATGATTTATCCTTTACCACCACATTTACTTAGCTAAAAAATTAAGAGTGTCTGCCTTGTTAATGTGGCAGAAAATTTGAAATCTGGATTGTCTAAATTTTTAGTGAAGTCATACTTTTTCCTGTTATTCATTCATTCATTTAATCATTCATTGGTCTGTTCATCCAACAGATCTTTTTTTAACATCTGTTCTGTGTCAAGCATTATGCTAGATACTTGTAATAAATATTAAGTTGTCTTCATTCTTATTCTAGAAATTCAGAATATATTATATATTCAATAAATATTGAATAGTTACCATGTATGATCAATGAATGAGACTCATCTGATACATATTAGAAACTTGCCTAGATGTGCTCTAATATATGCATGTTGACATGAATTGGAATGAATTATTTTTTAGACGCTAAATTATTTGTTTGTTTTAGACTTCGTCTTTATTTCATTTAGGCAGCTTCTTATTCGGTAGTTTACATTTGGAAAGTGATTAGAGTGTAAGAAGTTTTGAATGACTCTTGAAGTCGTTAAATTAAGTTGAAATCAGAAGAATGTTTTTCAAATTTAAAGAATAAATGAGCTTGCCTTATTAAATGACTATCTGGAAAGTAGAATTAATACTTTTTTCTAAAGCCATGTATGATTTTTTTTTTCCCCCAGATGGCTCGTTAAGGAGGAAAGAAGGCTTTCTGGGTGTTCCTGTGGTAACAAAATAGCAATTGCCATTAGCACCTCCAGTTGAGTGCAAGTTAGGGGAGCTTTGGGGCCCATTATAGGAAATGAGCTTTTTCTCTTTGGTAGAGAACCTGAGACTGTTCACTTGGAAGGATGATTTTCTATAATTTATTTTTTTTTTATATTTGTATATCTGTATAGGACTAACTCAGATACACAGCATTAATTTTTTGTTTTTTAGTTGTTTTTTTTAAGATCCTTGAAAATCTTTGAGGCGTGCACAAATTTCTTGAAATTGCATGCAAGATTTTTGCAAATGTCTGTTATTCCCCTTCTCCCCGTGATTCACAGTGGTTCAAGAACACAGAAAGGATAAGGTCTGTGCTTTTATTATTATATCGTCAGGACTCAGTGTGGTATGTATCATATTCATTGATCATACATGGTAACTATTCAATATTTATTGAATATATAATATTCAGGTAGTGTGGTTCTACCTTAAAAGCAAAATGATTTGGTATTTCAGTGACCACTTTATTTGGTATAGAGGTTGTTGAAAGATGAAATAACTGCTCTCACATGTAAGTATCCACTCTCATCCCACAGAATCCCTTCAAGGTAGAAATTATAGCACTTTTATGATGAATAAACAAAATCAGAAGATAAGTAATTTGTTCAAGGTTCTCTGCCTAATAGTCAAATTTAGCTTCCAGATTCAGAGATTTGACTTTAAAGCTCCTGTTCTCTACAGGTTCCTCCCAGCCTTTTCGCCCACCTAGAGAATTCTGTTCCATATGCATTGGCTAGTGTTAATGTAAAGTTAC